ATAAAAATGTGGCATAACCCAAAACATGGAGGATAAAGCAATACCTGAGAGAAGTCAAGCAAGATACAAGAAAAAGTCTCTAAATATGCCTTAGGCCTAAATACAGAGAGGATTCCCCACTTGGGGAATTTCCAACAGTATCAATAACATCTAATCTGTCTAATCTGTAGATACACACAAGGACATAGTCTCTAAGAGTTAAAACTCTTGTTGCATATATCTACAGATGAACTGAATATTCCTTCGAGTACAGTTAGATCAGCCTTTAGGAAGCAGAGTACGGCACAGCTGTAAACAGGCCGTGAACCAAAAGTGAGCGACTGTAGAGGAAGGAGACTTCAAGGGGAGGCTTCTTATGAGGAGACCTATGACCACTCTGAAAATATTATCGGCCTCAATTGCTGAGATTGGAGAGGGAATGAATACAACTATTACCCGGGTGTTTTACCAGTCATAGCTTTATGGGAGAAAGGCAAAACAAAAGCTACAGATCTCAATCAGAATATGTGGCTTGTTTTGGGCCAAGCACAGCCGAGCCGTCTTAAAACATAAGGTATCTGCATGTCATATGTCACAGATCGCAAATCAATGGGTTTATACCTCATTTAGGATATCTTCATCATCTTTAAATACCCCTGGGTCAACTGTACATTCAGAACTGTTTTATGGACCATATACAGTCATTTGCTGCAAACTGCATCAATGTAGTGTATGGAAGCAAAGGCCTCTATGTAGTAGGGCTTGGGAATTTGCATGGTTCCACCCAACATCCTAAAACGAAGACTAAACCCCCTTATTTCAGGCATGATGAAATCATTACACACATTACCCATGCTCTCGTGTCACTTGTGACGAGAGCATGGAGCCGGCTTCCGGGCAAATCAGGAAGCCAGGCGTAGTGTAATGACGAGCATGAAGCCGGCTTCCTGACCAATCAGGTAGCCGGGCAGCGCGTCATTACACGCTGCCCAGCTTTCCAATTGGCCTGGAAGCCATGCTCCCTCGTCGCCTCATTACACGCCACCTGGCTTCTTGAATAGGACTTCCCGTACTCGGTATTAGCAAGTACCGAAAAAATATATACATCGGTACTCCTAACCGAAATACCAGTATCGGTGCATCCCTAGTCTCCAGCTTCCGTCATTGACCCAAAACACGAGACAAAACGCTTACCTTTACTTTGCCGTCACAGTGTGCTGAGGCCACAGTCACGGTCACCTTTACAAGCTGCGTAGCCGATAAGTGGATTTTAAAATGTCTGAAGAAATGTGCATAAAGACATTGAAATAAATGTTCCACCTCCTCCACAGTCACTTCATCCTTAGATTTTTGTATGTCATGCCACAGAGTTTTAAAATCCTCCGGATGGATGGCAAATGAGATGTCCATGTGTGGCTCGACTGGCACAGAGAACACTAGTTCTGTGGTGGGCACATGTCCATGTACTTCATATCCTGCACACATAGCAGCCAACCACCTAAGATCATGTGACCTGATCACCAGTTTAGCAAAACAGCAGTCAAAGACCTGTTGGAACCAGGTGCCCACTATAGCTGTGAACGACTCTGACCCATTAATGAGAAACAACGGAAGACATGTGAAAGTCTCTGGTAACACTTCTAATATGTCATCCTCTGTGAATGTTCCGCAGAACCAACCAGTCCACACTATCCGCTCTTCTGTGCCCGGCTTGGAGAGCTGCGATTTTCCAGTAATCTGGCAGATGGAAAAAGAAAATTAGAAGAAAACTTAAGTAGTTTTGTAATGAAGAACACAGGAGTATCGTTTGTTTTTTTGTCCCCAGTCCGGATGCAGGATTGTCTGATATTTTTGTACTGGTTTAAAATGGTTAACGTAATGTACAGGGTTAAAGCAAACTTGTGCTTTGCTCCATATACAGCAAAGCAACATTTTCTTCAATGCCCCCTGCCCAATGGCACATACCTTTCCTTTGCTCTCCTGCTTCTCCAATCAGCTAATAGCAGGAAGGAAATGAAGTCCTATGTAAGCTCTGAGTCACTCTGATCAGAGCTTACACAGGGCTGAGGAGTCCCTCCTGCAACCAGTGACAGCGCTAAGCCAATCACCAGCTTGTCACATAAGAGGAAGGAGAGTGTCACATGCTCCTCCGTGGAAGTACCAAGCATTTTCCTCACTCCTGGCAGCAGAACAGATCAGCTGGGAAGGAAATGTACAGTGTTAAAGTGAAGGTGTTTATCTCTGCATGCATCCCATTCCTGAAAGCGCCTAACATTACTCTTAAGAGAAATATGGGGTAACCTTTTTATCCCATAGTTCTCTTTAGGGAAGAACATATACTAACATCCTCCCACGACCCAAAGCTCAGTATATAGCTCGCTATATACTGAGCGCGCCGCAGCGGATCCCGACAATACTGTACTGTCGAGATCCACCGAACCGGCTGATTGACAGAGGACTCTGCCTATCGAGAGGCAGAGCCAGCCCCCTCTCCCATCCGTTCCTCCAGTCAGCGTCGGAGAAGGCGGGGGGAATCCCTGCGGGGAGCTGTGACTGACAATGACTGCTCTCTGCAGAGACATGATCGAGAAGTGAGCGAGCGACAGTATGTGTTAGCTCACTTCCTGATCAGTAGAGCCGACTTGTGACAGTTTCAATGTCACACGTCGGCTCTAACTATGAGGATAAGTGCAAATCACTCACCTCATAGTTCTCCTTTAATTGCCAGAGGCTAAAGGGAGCAGCAGATGAAGTAAAGGGAAGGTGACGATATGCAGCTGGGAAAAGGGGGCAGTGAAAGTGAACTGGTGCTCACCGCATTCAAATAATGACATTCTGAACAAGCAGTAAAAGCAATTTAAAGCCCTCATTCACTTCTGTAGCTACAGGCATTAAGTAGAAATTTGAAAGTGCACAACAGAAGCAGCGAAATCTCATCTTTTTTCCTAATATATATGTACACACATAGCAGATGTTCCATAAATTAGAAACCGATCAGAAACTCGACTCGAGTCTGTTGTAATGCGAAGTAATCCATTCTCAAAGATCACAAGCAGCTCGGCAGGCCGGAGAAGGCTTGTTTTAAAGCACTTTATTGCTTGTTAAGAATTTGTAAATCATTAAAAAGGTCCATAGTCTGGGCAGAGGAGCACTTTAAATGAACTTGTTGCTTTGCCCCGTATGTTCAATTTTAAGCAAGCAATATAGGAGGAGAAAACAAAACTGTTGCAGGTATGAGGTGTCTGCAGATATCGGCAGCAGCCTCCATAGTCAATGCCAAATGCTGGCCTGTTCTGGCAAAGGTCCAAGCGTCTGAATGATGTAGGAGTTTGTTAAACCACTGCAAGTACCTACTGATCTGCCAGAAATCCAACTTGATGTCTGAGCTTCTGCTGGGCCGATATCCAAACCAGTGCTATCAATCCTGCTTGAGTTTTCTGGTCCTGGACTAAACACCTCCCCCTTGTCATTTCCAGAACATAGGGGGTTGTATTCTGATTTTTTAGAAGATCAGCAGGTATTTTTCTGTACTTGCAGCATGTTTCAAGGGATAAAAAGTAGTGAAATGTGCATGTATTGCAGATGTATATTTTTTTTTTAAAGTCAAGTGCAGACACACTCACCTGAACTAGAACTGCAGTTGGGTCTCTTTCTTTCCCCTTGAGTCCAGGGAGACAGGAAAAGCTGGCTTTCAGATTAAGGTCTGACCCTGGATCAATAGCAACCCCCTTCTGCTTCTCAGCCGCTATGGTGGCGGATAGGTGCTTGGAGTATTCCTTCAGCTTGTCATATGAAAAATTATACATTGGGGTCACACTGTAAAGAGTCCATTGCTTTTGAAGCAGCAAAGCAGCCTTTTGTGGATCAAGGGTATCCTGAAAACAGTCAATACAGAGAAGTCTTGTAAGGAGAACACGTAAATTACCAGATTTAAAAAGTTATACCACGTGAATGGAAACATGTAACAAATTTAAAGTATGTGGCTTCAAACGTGGAAATACACTTTAAATCTGAACTACAGTGAGAACAAGGTTGGCTTACACGGTAAGGAAGGATTATAACCGTCTGTGTTTTTTTTTTTGTGCCATCTGTGCCCCATAGGGGAGGTTTCCCTTGAATTCCAATCCGATAGTCACAACAGGAAGTGAGAGGAAATCTCTGGTGGTCAACATGGTCCACAGAAGCAGCCTCCCAATTGAAAGATTTGCCATCTATCCCTGTTCCAATTGAACTAAAAATTTGGGATTTTGTTTTTACTTTCACTCTTTGTGATAATGGACACCGGGACAAATAGAGAGGGTGAATCTCCCCCAACGGGAATATAGACAACAATGAAAACCTGACAGGTCTTCTAATCCCTCTTTACTCCATCCAAAACTTTAAAAAAAACAATAATCTTGGTTTCAGTTGCACTTTAAGCCATCCTGACCTTCATAGGCAGAGTGCCTTCTTGGCCATGGCTACTAACAATTCCAAGCACAGAAACTGACCATGCTGGAAGATCTCTTCCACCCCAAATTGTACAGGATGTTACTGCACCAGGCAGACAGGAAACCTTCACATTTGAACAAACTGTTCTTATAAAACTTTAGTTTCCAGCCATTGCTCTTCTTCACTTTTACCTTGGCTACAATAAAAAAAAAAATAGACATCTAGTTTAGAACTGATAATGAGATCTCCCAGCACAGCAGAGGCAGGGTTAGTGATGGTAAAAACAACTTTCCAGCCCCCTGCTTAACATTACATAAAAGGGGAACGCGCAGTAACATTTTTCAGCAAGTAGAAAAGTAAGCAGGATAACATATATATATATATATATGTTATCCTGCTGCAGTGAACATGTAACAAACGTAAAATAGATGTTATCCCAAATTGGCTGCAGGTGGGGGTGATGTATAAAGGCTTCACACAGTGTATATCTGGGTGAATGTCATTCACATGACATTACAGCTGCTGGATAAAGCTAGAGCAGCAAAGGAATTTCCTATGCTCCCTTGCACCATCCAGAAGCTTGAATGTTGTGCGAATGGCATTCACCCAGATATACACTGTGTGAAGCCTTTATACATCAGCCGTCAATTATTACATTGAAAATGTTACGTAGATCAGAATAGATTGTCTGCTTTCTTGTTTTTCTGAGTTTATAGTTCCATGACCAAGTGCCCGACCTTTCAAAAGGGGGCGACACCAAAATGACTGTCAGTCATTTTGGCGTCACCCCCACTGATGATGTAACCCCCTTACCTTGTGACACCACTGGTTTCTTTTTTTCTCGCAGTCGAGGGATGTCTATGTGTCCCCAAAATAACAGAAGCCAGAGAAATACAAACATCTTCCTAGCACTAGAAAAGTGATTCTGTGATGTGTAATATAGAATAGGAGAACCTACCTGTATAGGGGTGTTTTGTGGTACCCTCCTCTTAGACGGGAGGCGATATGATGAACGTCGCCGAACAGAATGAAGGCTTCCGAGAGGGTACCTGGAGCTCAGGTAGGGGGCACTGCTGCTTCGCAATAGTGACTTGGTTTTGGGGGTTGACACCCCATCAGTAGGCGTTTGCATAGCCTGAAGGAAGAAAAAGAAGAATAAAAATGAAGACATATGGCAGACACAAGCTAGTAGCATTTCCTAATGATGCGTTACTAAAGAGCCGATACCTGCATGGAGACGTGCCGCAGAAATAAAGTTGCGTCACTTCTTTCTCTAACCAACAGCTTTGTGTACACTGTATTATGATAACCACTACATTTCCATGCACCGTATTGGGTTTATAAGTAAACAAAATCCCCTTGAAATATACCTATAAAAACAGAGTCTGTTCCTGAAAATGCGGTTCATCCATCAACTATGGAATCTGTGTATACAAATGAAGACAGGTTCCGCGGTGGCATGTTTTACCAGTGTAACGTTTACTTCCAATATTATGATAAAAGAGGAGATCTCACGTGCACATAGTGACAAATACAAGAAGAATCTGCATACCAAGTCACAGCATCCCTGCTGGTGTTGTCTTATTCTAATCAATGCAGGTATCAACAGGGACATCCAGCCATACCCTAAAGTGCATGTACCCATCTATAGTACACGGATCCGGACGTCACACCACCTACAGCGCACACACACGGTTGCGCCCCTGCATATGGCGCACGTATACGGCTGCGCCCCTGCATGCGGCGCACGTATACGGCTGCACCCCTGCATACGGCGCACGTATACGGCTGCGCCCCTGCATACGGCGCACGTATACGGCTGTATCACTTCACACAGTGCATGTGTGTATCCAGCTCTAATGCTCTTTAGTACATGTGTGTATCCAGCCACACCATGCAGTACATATTTCCAGCCATTACACTATATAGTACATATAACTAGGTGTACCATGATAACAATGATCTGTAGAAGCCTCTTACAGCGATCCAGCGCCTTGCAGCTTGCTCCCAGCTCCGCACACATGTACCATCCGCTCCACAGGAACAATCTTCTTACAATAAGTCACATTCACATAAAAAAAATTGAAAGCGGAGTCTCTCGCCGGCTCAGTGTCGCACATACACTGAGGGATCCACCTCCATTTTGGCGGTTACAATTTCAAATTCCCCCTCGCTTCCCGGATGTTAGGTTGGCTCCCCAGAGCGAGGCGTGGAACGCAGGACACTTCCGTAATACGCGGCAGTGGTTAATACGCTAGGTGCCCTTAGTAAAGATGGCCGCCCTGTATTATCGGCAGCTCGAATGTGAAGTATGATATTCGCTGTGTGTTCTGTGTACTGGCTGGTACTGTAGGGAGAGATATGTGTTAGGCGTGCTGTCGTTGAGTGTAATGTTTGAAATGAAAAACTGAGCATATTATGTGTATGGTGTGTGGGTGACGGTGTCACGTGGTGTGTGGGTGATAGCTCCTGGATTGCATCACGTGATTCAGAAAGGAAGTCGCCACGCTGCTTGATGTGTAGACACTGACAGGTAAATGTTACATACTCATACGATGACCTCCTTGTAATATTTGGTGATTTGTGTTATTTTTAATACTTTTAGGCTCTTTTGTACTCACTCATTTTAATGAATTGATTTTTTTAAAGGTTTGTTGTGTCTGGGAACTGGAAGGTCACCTGACTTATAAATGAAATGAAGGTCAGAGAGCCATGTATGATCACATATATGACATACATATGTCTGTAAATATCAATTAGTGTCTTGTAGTATAATTGTGCACATTTGTAGGCTATGGTTTATTTGGAGCACAGAGACTTGTAATTCACTTACAGTGACCCCGTCAGCACAACTTCACTCTGTATGTAACATAACACGGGATATACTCACCTTTCCTGGTAGCGTGTTTGCTAAATCTCTGCCTCCTCAATGCTTCCCGTCCACTGCAAATATTCTACATTTGTCTATGAGTGGAGCCTGCTCCCCCCACCATACACTGTGGTTTCTCCCACTGTCTCCTATGTCACTATAGGACATATGAGCTGGTGGGAGGGAGCACTGTGTGCGACAGGGGGAGTCTGTATTCCATATATATGACACAGTGCCCATGTGCTAGGTCCTTTTGTTTTGATCTTTGAGAATTGAATTGTTTCGCAGTACATGTGGCTAAATAGGTAGTTGATGGCTCGTTTAAGGCCCGGTTCACACCTGGGCGTTTGGAAGCGTGTTCGAACGCTCTGCAAAACGTTCAAACACCGTAATCCCATTATTTCCTATGGGTATGGTTCACACCTGGGCGTATTACAGGCCGTATGAAGCGCTACAAAATGTCCTACGCCCAAAGAAGTACAGGAGCTTCTTTGGGGCGTTTTTGTCGCGCGTTTCCATTGGGATACAGCCAAGTAGCCCTCGGAAACGCTCGTTTGTCGTGCGTTTTTTTACAGCGAATCTCGCAACAAACGCGCATATTCGATACGCCTAGGTGTGAACCCAGCCTCAGGCTGGGGAGGAAAGACTTAGAAGATGCTGAACATAATAGTGACTTCCCCTTTGAAGTCAGCACTTGGCCCCGCCCTCTCCCACCTTCTGACCGTCTCTGAATATATGATGACCAGTACAATGTTACAGGTGAAGCACGTGAAAAGGGTAATCTGACAATTACATTGGGGTTCCCTTGTGCCCATAAGGTCATTTTGTAGTGGTAACTTTTGTGCACTGGAGAATCAGGTAACTTTCATCACATTTAAATATTATGGTAGCCCCTGACATTGTGTTTTTGTACTCCTGTTTCTTGCTTTTTAAAGTGTATTTCCACTTTTAAAGTCAGATTTGCGCGAAACCCATGGAGCTGGCTTCCCAGCCAATCAGGAAGCCGGGCAGCGTGTAATAACTCACTGCCCGGCTTCCTGATACCGGAGGTATAAGGCTAGGCATCGGAGCATTTGGGTGAGTACGAGTACTCGTCCAAATACTCGGCATTGATACCGATACTAGTATCGGTAGCGGTGCATCCCTAGCTGTAATCACACATGGATCTAATACCTGCAGCTAGATACAAATGATCGCCAGGTGATAGTCTGTCTCTCCATGTGTGATATATCTGAACACGGATGGACAGCTGGGGCCGCTTGCTATGTACAGGCGGCCGCAGCTGTCCAGATGTGACCTGTGTCTCCTGCCGCAGCATTACACAGATTCTTGCTGCAGGAATCCTGCTTCTGGAGATGACGCCTCATAAGTGTGAATAAGACCTAATATTTCTTTTCTTTGGGTTGTGATGCAACGGACATTGATATCCATGTGTAAAAGTCCTCTTTACAGGGAATCCTGTCCCACCTCAACCAAACTGACCTTCTCCGTCAACTCCTCTCCACACACAGTTATTACCTTTTTCTGTCACTTGCTCCTCCCTTTTCCGATTGTAAGCTCTCACTACCAGGGCCCACCTAATTATCTTATTTGGACTAGTATTGTAACTGTCTCCCTTTGTATTGGAAAGTGCAGCACACACTGTTGGCATTATAGAAATCCTGTATTATAATAACAAAAATGTGTGACTGTTTTGTCTTGCAGTAAGTTGCTGTCTAAGGAAGGAGACGTCACTGGAGAGTTCACATTCCGCCCCCATGTCACAGGCATATTGAACGCATGTTGATGGCCGGCCGGCCCTTTTGAACATACAATGGCTCTTCGTGCTGGTCTCAGATTGTTGATTGGTTGTGGAGCTGTAAGCAGACGGCAGGTTATCAGAAGCTTCTGCCTGGTGCACAGGATACAGGCTGCCAGTTCTGGTACAAATCATGGCAGTCCCAAAACTCCAGGTGAGAGATTCTTTACTATTCAAGGTAGTTCCAGTAGTATCTGTGATGGGGTTCCTATAATCAGTTTAATAAAGTGGCGGCGTCTGTTGGTACAGGTGACAAGCTAAAGCTGGCCATACATCTGCCTGCAGGCCGAGGAAAAGAAATCTAATAGAATCTAACAGCGTGGATGGAGGTAACCCTCCCTGCTGGGCTATTGTATTCTGACTGCCGGTGACCTACTGCTGTCAGAATACTCAAACAGGAATTGCAGCTGATTGGCTGCAGTTAGTGTTTGCCCAACCCAGCTACGGCTATAAAAGTCAATTTGAGAGTTCAACTTTTGTCTTGCCGGCAGGACCACCCACTGTTGGAATTTTGGCCAATTCCGGTCAGACACCTGACACTCTAACCGTGTATGGCCAGATTGACACTGTAAATATTTCCATGCCTGATTTGAAGGACATTATTTTAACAGAATATAAAACGTATTCGGTGGCTCTGAAAATAGGTAAAGACAGAGTAAGATTATTCTTCATTGGGCTCATTCTAAAACACCTGCTTGCCTATAATGGAACAATCAAGGAACTGTTTGTCCAGACTGCGAGTGATCACAATCACATTGATATCAATATTTCAGAATCCAATAATAAATACATAGGGATCTATTTCTAAATGTTCTCACACAGGATTTACACAACGTTTACCCAGAATTCACACGTTTTTCTAATTGGATTCATTATTCACACGATTTACTGTGAACATTCTGAGTTTCTTTAGTAAATCAGCCTTTATGTGTGGCCCTTTGGTGATGTCAGGGGCTGCACTGGAGTCCCTCTGTATCAGGGAAGATGGCCACCGCTCTTCTATGTGAATGATTTGTTTTGTTATATTTTCCTGCAGATTTGAGCAGCTTTGTTTCTCGGTCACACACATGTGGAGAATTGAACGCAGCTCACGTGGGTCAGGAAGTCACGTTGTGCGGCTGGCTTCAGTATCAGAGGTGAGTGCTGGGTGCATGCAGAATTTTGCGCTACGTACAGTCTCCTTTTCTTTTCTCAACGATAGAAATGAGGGGGAATGTCATCCAAAATATAACGGCCTACATTCCCTTGTGTGGAATCCAGTAACTTGCTTTGTAGGTATTGTATAGGCACTATCTGGATTTGAATGGCATAGTAAAGGAATGACTTCCTCAATAAGATATGTACATACATTGGGGGGAATTTATCAAGACTGGAGCAGACAAAATCTGGAGCAGCTGTGCATGGTAACCAATCAGCTCCCCTCTTCAGTTTGTTCAGTTAAGAATTGAAAATGAAAGAGAGAAGCTGATTGGTTGCCATGTGCAACTGCTCCAGTTTTTGTCCCACTTTTGATAAATTCCCTTCATTGTTGTTACAGTGCAAGGACATGGATTGTTCATACACAGAAAACAGACTCTCCAGCTATTCTACGGTGCCTTCCCTTACAAGGAACCTGGGCTGATATCCTGGTCCTTCTCTACCCAGTAAAATCTAGGCTGGTAACTAACCTGGTGGTAGTAAAGGAAGGATCAGGATGGCAGGCAGTCTTCTGTCTTTATAAATCCATGTATACAAACAGGCCCACCAATAAATGTTAGTGACATCTCATGGAATTAGTCACAATTGTAAGGATGGATGTATGTATTCGAAGGGCAGTCTCTCTCTTCAAAATAAACAACGATGGCTTAACATTGCCACTGCTGGTGAATCCAGCCTTTGCTATCTTGCAGTGCAGGACACCAGTGTGCCACTGCATCTCCATAGAGACAATCTAGTTCTGTGATGATCTATGTGTGGGACAACAGCACGCAGTGGGGCGACCCATCAGATTCACCTGATGGGTCTCTAGAACATCCCAGCGTTGTGTCTAGCTCTGCATAAAGCTGGCCATACACCTATAGATTATCTGCAGATTTTCTATGGTCCGATGGAAAAACGTGCAACAGATTCCTCCATCTACACTAAACTGTGTGGATGGAGGAATCTCCTGCTGGGCCAAGCTTCAGTATCTTGCTAGTCGGTCTCGCTGGCTGTTTATATCCCTGAACAATGCCTGCATCCAATCGGATTGTTCCGGTATTTTGAGAGCCAGCGGGGCCGACTAGCAAGATTCTGAAGCTTGGCCCAGTGGGAGATTCCTCTATCCACACAGTTTAGCGTAGGTGGAGGAATCTGTTGCACTTTTTCCATCTGACCATAGAAAATCTGCAGATAATCTATAGGTGTATGGCCAGTTTTAGATGGATTCACTGGCAGCAATACTGTTTGGTCTTAGACATTTATTGTAAAGAGACACTGATACATGTATACTACAACTGTTTCTACTTGGTGCATCTGTTATAAGTGGATGGAAACCCCAACAATGAACTTCTCTTATTTGTTTCATTTTGGTCTGTTAAATATATTGTGAGAAATATTTGCCGTGTTTGTTTGTTTGATAAGTGCAAGAATAAAAACCCTGTTGATCTTATCAGACATTCAGAGCTGTCCTGCGTCCTCTGCTCGATCCCTGTGTTACCTCAAGCAGCCTTCCGATTTGTTATCTTGAACCACAGAATGAATAGCCTTTATGTTGTAGAGAGTGGTTGAGTAGTTTAGCAAAACACATAAGGCAGTACTGACACCACCCAGTCCACACACAGCAGGGCTCAAGAATTGAGTGCATTTTTTTGCAGATTATAAGGTATTTTAACTCTTTTTTTTTTTATAAGGTATATTTGTACTTGTAGGGGCTTTGTAAAGACATAAAACATTGAAAACTCTGCATGTATTGTAGATTTCTATTTTTTTTTTGCCTTGAAGTATGCTTTATGGCAAACTCCAAGCACTTTGGATAAAGTGAGGAAATGTTAGAACCTTTGCCAGGTTTTTAAGGGAAAATCTGGGTGGATATAAACAGACATTCTTAGTAGGTTGTGTTGGACCTTTTACAATCCATCAGTTGTTTAGCAGTTGTATTAATATCTGTATAAGATAAAAACCTCTTTTACATCCTCATTCTATATCTTCCCCAACGGAACGCTGTGATAGGATGTGAAACTGCTAAAAAGACAAAGGGGGGGATTTATCAAAACTGGAGCAGTTGCCGGTGGGCAAACAATCGGCTTCTATCTTTAGTTTGCTCAGCTAAGACTTGAAAATGAAAGATAGTAGCTGATTGGTTACCAAGCACAGCTCCTCCAGATTTGGCTTTTCCAGTTTTGTTTAATTCTCTTCTAAGTGTTGTATCCAGAGCAGTGACAGAGTGACCAATGGGGAAGACAGCCAAGATCTGCAGGTGGTCCCCTTGTAGAGAACTATTGTTTATTAATGTATGGATTGAAATCATGGTCCTGTTAATAATACCCCCTCTTTTTTTCTTTCCACAGAGGAGATATGTTTCTTATACTGAGGGATTTCCATGGACTGACGCAGGTTATTCTCCCAGAGGAGGAGGTATGCATGCTGTTAGTTGACTGTCTGGTTGGGATTTGTCTATAAGATTAAGTGCAGCTTTGATCAGGAACCAAATAGTGTCTCTAGCAAGAATTAGAGAGCTCCAAGAAATAGAAGTTTCCTTGTTTCCAATATCTGAGCTCATCACCTAATATAACCGATTGAGTGTATGGTCATCACAAGCCTGGGCATAAGATGTAAAGCTGCATAAGCAGAGGTTATCTTCAGTGAAAGCCACGTTTAAAATCAGTAGATCCAGAGACGTAGGCAGCTGAATTTATATACATATCTTTTACTTGTGTTGTAAACGTCAAAGTTGTCTCCTTTGCTACCACCTCTTTATTCTGCCTATAGGTCCCTTAATGCGTTTAGTTGGCTTCACTGACCAATAGGCAGGAGGTGGCATTGAACCAAGCTCAACTTCTATAGAAAAGATTATCTTAGGGGTAGGCAACTTCGGCATTCCATTTGTCGCTGAACTACACATCCTATTAGGCATTGCAAGTCTCTGACAGCCACAGGCATGACTCCCAGAGGCAAGGCATGATGTGATTTGGAGTTTCACCACAGCTGGAGTGCTGTGGTTGCCTACCCCTAGGTTATCTGATCTTCACTTGTGCTGTTGTCCTGGGACCAGGGCCGGCCTGAGGCAGAAAAGGCAGCCTCCATGGATGCCATACTGTGGGGGGTGTAGCTGATCTGGGCCCCGGTGGTCTGAGTTATCCCTATCCCAGCAAAGGCATCACAGGCTGAACTTGAATTTACATGTGAGCTACATAGGACAAAGACAACTACATACGTTCCTATACACTAGAATATACATGAAACAGAACTTCTATGCTGTCTGAATGTTATCTGTTACAGCTTTCCATTGGCAAAGGGGAGAGCTCCCCAGCGGGGTTATGGATGGCCTTGAAGGCTTAGTGAGGCGTAGCTCCTTGCCTGTCCATAACAGAGATGTGCTATTTTGTATTGTGTTGTCTTTTAAATCCTCTCATTTTATAGATACTTTAATCTGCTTTCCCTGATTTTTTATTTTTTTTTTCTTTGGCAGCATGGCACTGAGGTGAGGAATCAGATGAAAAGGACCCCTTTAGAGTCCGTGCTCCTGGTAAAGGGAACAGTCATAGCCCGCCCGTCTGGCCAGGAGAATCCTGTGAGTCTTTCCTTTTTCTTATCAGTCTCAAGTTGCAATCTGATTGTACAATGTACGATCTCCTTTAGTTTTACCAACAATAGATGTTGGTAAAACTAAAGGAGGGATGATCTTACAGTCTGTGGTTGTTGTAACCTTATTTTGGGTACTTGCATTTTGTAGAATTTTACTGTTCAGTGTTTACATAGTCTGTCATTATTCTGTTTGTCTTTTACCAGTTGTACTGTGTGTTCTGATTCTAGAATATGCCCACAGGAGCCATTGAAGTTCAGGTGAAGGAAGTGCAGATCCTGAACCCCTGCAGACCGCTGCCCTTTGAGATTAAAGACTTTGTGAAGGTGATTCTTAGCTTTGTCCTATTTATCTTTTCCCCTACACATCTGTTATTGATTTTACATTTGTGTGTTAAGGTTAATACTCAGGACCTCTGATTACAACCACTAAAGTTGCTAATTTAAAGCTGACCTGAGCTTTGCTCATGCAGCGCATACAGGTAAATTTTAATGGTTTCCCCATGTTTTCCTGATGCTATGTGTGGACATTACCAGTGAGGTGAAATACATGGTACTTCCATGTATGAGGGGCACGTGACTCATTCCCACATTAACAGCTTTGGTAATTGGCTGCTCAGGTTTCTAGCACTGTAAAGCTGGCCATACACCTATAGATTATCTGCAGATTTTCTGTGGTCAGATGAAAAACGTGCAACAGATTCCTCCATCTACGCTAAACTGTGTGGATGGAGGAATCTCCCACTGGGCCAGGCTTCAGTATCTTGCTAGTTGGCCCCACTGGCTCTCAAAACACCCAAGTAATGCCTGCATCCAATCAGATTGTTCAGATATGTTGACAGCCACTGGGGCCGACTAGCAAGATACTGAAGCCTGGCCCAGTGGGAGATTCCTCCATTCACACAGTTTAGCATAGATGGAGGAATCTGTTGCGCGTTTTTCATCTGACCACAGAAAATCTGCAGATAATCTATAGGTGTATGGCCAGCTTTAGGTGGGGACGGGGAGAGAGTCCTCAGCACTGTGTAAGCTCCAAGTCTTGATACTTGGCTTTGCTTCTGGTGGAGTGAATACAAGGTAAGCACATGAAGATGATTTGGGCAGCATTAAAGCAAACTCGTATGGACATAGCACCATTTAACCCCAGAGACAGAGTTGGTGTGTATATTTATTTGCATGCTACATTTTCAAATATGACTGACATCACACTGAACAGTGTTTTAAAAATTGTATTTTACTACCAGAAATCAGAAACTTTGAGAATGCAATACCGTTATCTGGACATTCGCAGTGCCCGGCTCCAGTACAACCTCAGAATAAGGTCCAAGATGGTGATGAAGATGAGAGAATATCTGTGTAACCAGCATGGTAAGTGTCAGTTCTTGGTGTCACTTTTTCATTTCCTTTTTAAGGGTAACAACGCTTCCTTCACTGCTGCAGTATTCTATATTGATGTCACCCTTTCAGCACTCCTGTAGGTGGGCTGGAGCTGTATATGCCAACGCACACAGCGCCCACATGTACTGTTGGGAAGTCTGCCTAACAGTACCCTTTGTACTGCCCTCTAGGCTTGAACGAAGTGGCTCAGGGAGGGAGAGACGAAGTGATTCTCTTCTTCCAGAGCCTTTGTCCACAGATCAATAAAAGAGCTGCCGCATGACTGACATAAAAAAGGAATTTAGCTCATACATTAGCATTGCCATCTTTATTACACTATTCTTATTTGTGTTCTGTTGACTTGAAATCTACTTTAATATTACAATAATATCAATATTTAAAAGAACCAGCCTGCAATGGATTCATATAGAGGACATTATGGCTGGTATATTGGAAGCATGGTTTTCTTGCATTCTCCTTTTTTAAAATTTATTTTTAGTTGAAGCTTTTAAACTAATATTTATATTTGGTCTTCTATATACACAATTTCTGTTTTACAAATTTACGTAAACCAAACTGCTATTGTTATTAATTTTGGCAATACCAATGGTGAGGGAGACGCTAGAGGCATAATATCTGTATGAGAAGGTATACCTTCCTTCTGTAACATGTCTGAGTTCCTGCTGTGTCCTTATTTGCCATTTATATGCAAAGTGTGAAGATTTATTTTGTATGATGAGTTACAAGAGTGTGTTCTTTTGTTTCAGGATTTGTGGACGTTGAAACACCAACTTTGTTTAAAAGAACCCCGGGGGTATGTGCTCTGGTTTGCTTGTCTTGTGCAGGGACTGGGCAGTGGCTCCTTGGGTAAGAGCAGTGAACTGAATGAATGAAAGATTTGCTGGAGACCAGGGTTCGAATCCTGCGGTCGTCAGCTCACCTAATGGGCTGTAACTTGTAAAGTGCAATATGGAAGCTGAATTACTGAATATGTGCAGGTGAAGTATCTGTCCGTATTATCAGTCTTCCTATAGTAATGTATCGGAGATCTCTGTCTGGCTCTGCACAGTGTACTCAGCCTGATCGTTCCTCTCCACACACATACCACTTCTTTATGGAAGGAATTGCCCATCCTATATCACTGGTTGTATATGGAGCTGTCTCTCCTTACTTATCCCTTCTTTCATTGTTATGACCCAATTTGTTTTTTTTATTGCCAGGGTGCTAAAGAATTTGTGGTGCCAACCCAGGAGCATGGCAAATTTTACTCTTTGCCTCAGAGCCCTCAGCAGTTCAAACAACTTCTTATGGTTGGTGGACTGGACAGGTGAGACTGCAAAGTACATTAGTCAGTTCAACTCCTTTTCCTTATGGCTACCGTTTGTTTTAGTTGATCATATCATTTGTTAATGTTATTAAAGTGAATTTATATTTAAATGTTACAGAAAACCTACACTGAGAAACATGCTTTTATTTCCAATGTTGACCTTTCCTTCTGAAAATGCTACAAACTTGGCTGTCACACAATTAGCTTTATAAAAATCACTGACCCGGAGCAAGTATGCAGATCAGGAGTTCTGGACTCAAATTAGTGGCCCAGAACAAGGGTGCAGATCTGGATCTGGAAGTGCTGCACGTTTGTTTTGGGAATACATTTACTGACCCAGAACAACTATGCAGATCTGGAGTTCTGGATTAAATGTACTGACCCGGAAAAAGTATGCAGATCTGGACGTTCTGGACTTGTGCTGCATGTTTGTTTTGGGTTAGTGACTGAAAATGAACAGAGACAGTCAGGCAATTAGCATTTTGTGAAGGAGATCAGCTGTGGGTAGTTTTCTTTAAAGTGACATTAAACCCTCAGATTTTTTAACATAAACCAATACTGTAATGTGTGCCTTACTGTAATCCATGGTAGTTTCCCTTCCCTATGCTGCTCTTCCTTTTAAATCCTCATGTCTTCTCATGCTTGGGGAGTACTTCCCTTTGCAGCTGGTTGCCTCTTCCTGTAGTGCTGGCTCAGGTTTCAAACCAACACACAGACACAGTGTATCCATTTCAGAGACTAGGCAGTCTGCTGCAAAACAGAAGTTCTGCCCAGCATGAGAAGAGATACAGATTTAAAAGGAAGAGCAGCAAAGAGAAGGGAAACAACCATGGATTACAGTAAGGCACACATTACAGTATTGTTTTATGTTAACAAATCGGAGGGTTTAATGTCCCTTTAACCAGAAGCTATGTTTGCTGTCTTGTCAGGATCATTAAATGAACAATAGTTGAAGGTCTGAAATACCTAAAGTGACAAAATTAAAGGTGGGGGGTGGGGATTATCTGTAAGGAGGTAAATACTTGTCTCTCCTGCTCCCTGCTCATTGAACATTACTCTAGTGAAGAGGAATCGGCCCTCAACGTCTCTGCAGATGTACACTTCTGGAATTGTTGATCTCCTGTGTCCCCTGCAGCTCTTGGTGGTTACTCCCACCGACACCCACGTGACTTGTGTGTCCAGTCATGACAGCAGTCACCAGTGTCCAGTCATGACAGCAGTCACCAGGCACTATGGGAGACACAAGAGATTAACAGTCCCAGAAATGTGTTCCTGCAGAGTCTTTCGGGAGCAGTTCCTCTTCA